CCCACCTGTAGAAAGTTGGAGACCCAAGAGCTAAGTGTCAAATGGTCATACACTCTTCCAGCCCAGACCCATGGTTCCTACAGTGGTGTAACTCTCAAAAAGTCAGCTACAAATTTGTGCGATTCCAACCAGTGCCAGACACCACGAGCTCCATCCAGAGTGACTTGGTAAATGTGACTCTGTGACTTAACTATAGGTCCGAGAGCCTCTTGGGCTTAGTGGCAGAGTCATTTTGCCTTGTGCCATTTTGTCCAATCAAATGGATCTACCTTCTATCACCTTAGTCCGTCAGGAGGTTTTAACTGGATTTGACAGCCAAACCCTTGATTGCATTCTCCCTGCATGACTGGGTTTTAATCAACCTTTGTTGTTCAAGGAATTTCTCGGTATTATCTTTTACACGTCCGGGCTGAGAAGCAATTTCTTTTTCCAATCCTACAGTTCCTCACATTTTGGACTTTCTCTACGCTTTTTCGTTCCTGTTCTCACACTGCTCAATTATTTCCGAATCCACCTCTTCATGTTTGTACTTCCCAAACGCAGCCAACAGGAACCAATGTGCATTACTAACATCCTATTTTCCAAACATTTTCCCTAAACTAACAAGGTCAGAGACAGATTACCTGCATTGCACATGATCGCAGCTGACGTTTGATGATGTGTTTTCCACCATATACATGGACAAGTAGCATGTGAGTCGCTAATAACAGTTCCCTCACCACCCGAGCAAATGTCTCAAAGCAATATAAAATATGTCACTCTGCTAATTACAGCATTTGGCTTCCTGTGCCAAGTTTGCATCAGTTAGGATAGGCTAGTTGAGGTTGTAGATGAAAGAGAGAGGAAAGAAGGGAGGAAAGAGGGAAGGGAGGAAAAAAGGAAAGAGGAAAAGCTCCGAAATCTCAATACTTTAAGAAAACAGAATTTTAGTTTTTGTTCACCTTCAATCTACACCTAAGGGAATTAACCTGCCCTGGTAATCTCATAATGTTATTGCTCATCTATTTGCTTTCTATTTGTGAAGAATGACCACACAGTCAATGGCTTAAAAGAAGGCGCATTTATTAGCTCACGGTTGTTATGGGTCAGGGCCTGGGCACGACCTAGCTGGGTCCTCAGCTCAGGATGTCACAAGATGGCACGCACGGTGTTACCAGGCTACAGTGTTTACGAAACTCATGGTCCTCTTCCCAGGTCACACAGCAGCTGGCACTGTTCAGTCCCTTGTGGATGTGAGACAGCGGTCCCCTTTTGATTGTTGACTGCTAGCCAGGGCCTGACCTCAGGCCCTAGGTGGCCCTCTCCCAAATGACATGACAGCCCAGAGGGAGAATTGCCCCTCTAAGGAATCACCTGATTAAATCAAGTTTGTCCAGAATAATTTGGAGTAACTGAAAGTCAGATGATTAAGGACCTTAATGACACCTGCAGAATTCCTTCCAATTTGACTACAAGGTGACATATCTCAGCAGGGACAGGTATCCCATCATGCCCACAGTCTGGTCTACATCAGGGGAGAGAGAGCGTGTTATTTACGCAAGGACACTCAGGGCAGGGACCTTGAGCACCACGTTTGAGCATGAGAGTGACCAAGGGCCTTAGGAGGCCATTTAATGCCCAGCCCACGCAGACTTCCACTCACAACACATTGGAGAGGGTTGGTCCCGTGGTGCCTCTGAGCCTCAGGAAGCCATGAATGGCAATCCTACGGTACTTCTGAGACCATGAAGCTGTCGCATCAATGATCCCCACAGAGTCTGCAGCTAGAAAAAGTATGTAGAAGTCACTACCTACTAGAAAGAACCGCATCTTCAAAATGCCAGTACCTATAACACAGCTTCATAATCAGAGATGTGAGAAGGTGATGTTTTAGGCTTTTTTTATTGATCTTACATTTGAGTCTGGGCAGAGTGCTGACCGGGAGCATGGGAAAGAAGGAGACTCAGCCTCCGTGAGGTTGAAGAACCTGCCTTGGGTGCTAGCGGGTGTGAGCAGCGCAGCTTGGTCCTGGTGTGTGTGCACGCTTTCCACGGCACAAGCTGTCTCCTGCGAGGGTGGACTGGGGACGATCTCTGTTATGTGAATTGCCAAAGCGCTGAAAATTTTTCTTGGAAATTTTTTATGGTGATATGTAATAACCTTCTAGTTCTTTTTGATTCATTTATTTATCAAACAGGTATTGGTGCCCCAGCATATTTCAGTCCTTAGCTTTGAAGTAGAGATAACCCAGGATTAAGACACAAACCAATACTTTCGTCTCATTTCATTAAACTTAAAGAATGTGCAGCTCCTGAAGTTCCATAGTCGATAGAAAAGACAGGGAGACAAGGACTTGTTTTCACGTCCCGTGGGTCTGTTCCCTCCTCCTGTCTCAGTGTGAGAGCTCTTCTGTTCTAAAGCACAGGAACAAGACTACGTCGTGTCTCTTCTGGGAGGTGACAGGAAGCCCTGGGCTCTGGCTTCACAGCCAACTCTAACTCGGATACGTCTCCCCACCCATGCCCTTGTCATCATTCTTAGCGACTCCAGTTCCCAGGACCACGCTTTGCCCAGTATCCTGGCTTATCAATTTCTCAGCCTTATCAACCCCGAAGATCTGTGTTTCCTACCTGACCTCACCCAGTCGTCCAAATCCTTATCTGGATTCACAGCACCAGTTTATTTCGTAAGCTTCCCCCAATGCTGCCTCTCTGGGCCTCCCCGCTGATGACCACACATGCTTCCTGCGCCTTTGTACCTGTCGCCCCTCTGCCTGGGTTATTTTCTGCACATTTGTGTGTGCGCACCTCTTTCTTCTCAGACGAAGTATCTCCTTTTCAGAAAACTGTATTTTTACTTCTTTTAATTTTTCAATTAGTTAAAATACAGTATTATATTAACTTCAGGTGTACAACATAGTGATTACACATTTATGTAAGTAATAAAGTTACATAAGTGTTTTTTTTTTTTCTAGAAAAGCAGCAAATTCCTTGCCTGTTGGAGATAAAGTGCACCATTTCTCTTATTAAATTTCTTAACAATACTTTTCATTATCTAAAATTACTTATTGCTCTCCTACAAAGTAAGGAGGGGAGTTTTGGTGTATTCAACGTTTTTTCTGATTTTTTTGTCCGATTTTTTCACCACTATTTTTAATGTTGACACTAACACAGATGTCCCCATTTTTCCCCCTTTGTCCCCCTCCTCCCAGCCCCTGCACCCCCTTCCCTGTGTGGTGTGTCTCTATGGGTTATGCATACAGGATCTTTGACAAATCCCTTCCCCTTCTTTCAACCAGTCATTCCCCCCCCCCCCGCCTGTCCCCTCTGACAGCCGTCAGTCTGTCCCGTGAGTCCACACCTCTGTTTCTATTTTGTTCATCAGATTCCACACACGAGTGAGATCGTACAGTATTTAAAATGCAGTTGGGTCAAGTCAATCTTACTGCTCACGATTTATCTACAGCAGGATATCAAAGCTATGTGAACATTTATGATGAACTTCAAAGGTGTTTTGAAAACTGCTTCAATTATTTCCTGATGTAAGAGAACACTTTTGTGGAGGGTTTAGGCTAATAGAATCGGGAAATAAAGTGGAATTTCTAGAATTGGATGGGTTATTTGCGCAAGACTTTGCCATGTCAGGATATGGGGCCACCAGAAGCTGGTGATGACAGGCAGCCCAGGATCTCCAGCAGGTGGTAAGACGCCAGTGGACAGTTTCACCTGTATTCATTACACAGGGGATTTATCCAACTATTGCTCTTGCTCCCTCGGCAATTTTTAGAAAGCCTTTGGAAAGGCAGGATGGAAGCTGAGAATGGCAGTGTGGAAAGGGAGCTTTTTCTTCTTCTTTTAAATGTGAGGAGAAGGTAAGAGAGAAGACATTTTCTTTTCCTAATAAAAACAGAGCGAAGCTTGGCAACTATGATACCGTCTCACAGATCCATAAAGAACTGGAAGTTTATGCAATTTTAAAATACCTCAGGAAAATGTTCATGCATATCTTTTAATTCCGAGTCATTTCACTTGTATTTAAACATGCTGGCCTAGCAAAACCACATCGGTAATTTCATTGGTACAAATGAAATAGATCGGAATGGACTGGGGCTTGGGGAAAAAAAAGAAAGAAAATTAAAATGATTGCCCTCAGGAAAATAACACTTACAGGACATAAAAATTGTTTAATAACTTTACAAAAAAATGCAAAGTCTTTTTAAAGAGTTCGAATTTCAGCTCTTCTCACACCTCTCCTACGATTGTAGAGGAACTAAAGCCTTCGCTACTGGTGATCAGAGACCCTGAGAATTTTGTGTCTCCCACTGACCTCTGGGACCTTGTGAGAAGTCACTTAACGTCTCTCACCCTTAGTTTCCTCTTCTAAAAAAAAAACGAGTTACAGACTAGATCAGTATTTCCTAGCTATTTGGATCTCATGAAGCAGTTCCCGAGATGGAGGCTGAGAGGGTTTGGGGCTGCAGCTTCTTTTTTTCTTTTTTTTTAAATTATTTTTCAACTACAGTATTCTGTCTTTCACTCCCATCCCAGCTCACTCCCCTCTACCCCCCACCTCCCTCCCATTTCCACCCCCCTTAGTTGTTGTCCACGTGTCCTTTATACTAGTTCCTGTAAATCCTTTCCCTTTTTCCCCTGAAATTCCCTCTCCTCTCCCCTCCGGTCGCTGTCCCCCCTCCTTCTCCATTTCAGTGTTGTTGTTTTTATTTTGCTTGCTTGTTTGTTTTGTTGTTTAGCTTCCTGTTAGAGATGAGATCATATGGTATTTGTCTTGCAGTTTCTTTTTTAAAATAAGCACGTCGACTCAGCTAGCATGCACATGGCCGTCCAGAGGCTCGCTGGAACACACCCTGAGCACATCAAAGACCTTCCCAGAAGCTGGTGTGGGGCACGGCAGTGTCTCAGGGTCTGTTCGAGCGTCAGCTGGTTGCACAAACGGGAAAGAGAAGTGCTGTGGCAATGCTGGCCTTATCTCCTGGGTCAAGCGTGGCTGCGTGAGTCTGTGTCACTTCCCTAAACAACGCGGGGCCTGGTTGCACTTCAGTTCCCCACTTCCACATTCTTCTGTCTCTACAGGGGCAGAGACACAGCTCTTGGAACTCTTTCTTCCCTTTAAATTCTAAGTGTTGCTGGCAGGGTGGAGATAATCTTTCCTTCTACCATGGATAACAGTGGACTTGTAGCATTAACCAGTGAAGGACGTAATAGATTACACATCTCTGCTTTTTAGAGAGATCATGGGAACATCATTGATTTTTGTTTCTCAATTAAATATGTGTGAGTCAAGGGAAAAAGCTTTTTTCAAGTTAATACATGGTTCAGCAAAAGAAGAAGCAAGCAAAGAAGCCAAAATCAGGTAAAAATCATAATTTTAAAAATCTGCCTTACATTTAAAAAAAATATTAGTGATGAATATTTGTTAGCCCTTGTTTTTAAAATAGCCTGTTTAAAATATATTGATTGTATTGTTGCCAAGAAAAGGACGTTTTTATTGGAAGTAAACAACTGTTAAGACTAGTATTTTCATTTAAAAAAATGCAACCATTTTAACTACACAAACCAGTAACAATCTTTACAGAAATAGAATCTTAAATAATTTGCAGTCACTGAGGGGGAACAAAACCCCAAAAATTTCATATATGCTATCCTAATTCCTCTAGAAACATAGTGTCTAAGTGAAATTCTTTAAGGAAACCATTGTGAGTGTGGGTGGTGGACCAGAATGGCTGTCCAGGGAACTTATCAGTTCCCAACCTGAGAGTCACAGGGACGGAGTCTGTGGTTGAAGATGTCCTGAGGCTAATACCTTTTCGTCACAGAGCTAAGGAAAAGAGAAATCGGCTAAGTCTTCTCCTGCAGAAAGCTGAGCTCCATGAAGAGTCACACCCCAGCAGATCCGGGCCCTTGGCCAGAGATACCAGGTGAGGGTTTTTCACCATCTGACAGCAGGCAGTGGAGGGATTTTGCTGATGCTATTGTGAAAGATTTCAGGAAGAGAAAACCAGGGATTTCCATTTTATTGGAAGTTACAAGGCAATATAGGAAGATTAGAGGTCTCACTGCAAAAATATATAAATATTCGATGAAATTTAACTACTTTAATGTCTTGAATTATATAATCTCAAGAAATGTAAAGTTGCCCCTTTAAAAGTATAGACTTCCCAATTTTGAATGATAGATTTTTCCTTATAAATTGATGAAATGCTCATCAAGAGTTTTCACAATGTAATATTGTAAGAGAAGAGTTAGTCATATCCTCCCTTAATAGTTGGAAAGAATGTCCTAGATATAATAGTAAGTAAAGCACAAAAGAGGCTATTTTGTCATTTTTAGCCATTTCTTTAATTCAAACAGAAAACAGAATCACCTTTATAGGCTCATATAATATAAAATTTTCTAAATATGCAATATGACCAATAAAAGATTCAAGACAAATATATTCGATTCCCTAAACTATCAACATATCCAACTATCTGTTGTATTTCAAATGTTTTCTATTTCTTATCCCCTTAAAACTTCACCAGTCAAACTTCCTGTATCTACTAAAAAAAAAACAACTACTGCACACTGTGGTAAGAGTTTCAAGGAAATTGCAGTTAAAAAAAAACTGACTGAAAGATACTTGTCAGTTGAGGTTCTTCAATTTGCTGAATTAAGAAAGATAATTGACCTCATTTCTTTCTTGGTTTTTAACCTAACATATGATTAATTTTTCCTTTAGAAAATAATCACAGGCAACACTGAAAAGAAAGTTGACTGATGTTTTTGACGTTTCCAACGTGAACATAACTCCCATGATGTCATAGTCAAAAGGGAACCTGTTGGAATGGTCCGAAAAGAGAACACTTGTTGCACACGTTAGGCTGAGGCTTAGACAGACACTCTGCACGCTCCCTTCTAAAACCTGTTGTGTCTTGCACAGGGTCCGCCCCGAAGAAGCGGTAAGATGGGGTGAATCATTCGAAAAACTACTTTCCCATAAAGGTTAGTGCTATTTTTCCCAAATACTTGTTCCTGAATAGAAAATTATAAAAAGGATGCATGTAACTATACAACACAGGCTGTAATAAAGATGAAGTCTGGTTGATAATTCACAGCAATCTGAGTTTCGGATCAACAGAAATAACTAAATAGTATGAGTCCACTAACAGAACATATTTTTTTAATTAGTCTTATTTTATTACAAATTACTTTATTGTGGTTGAAATAGTATTTCTTTGTGCTGTGGTTAATAGTATCAAATTTTTTATATTTTTTATTTTTGAATGAGACCCTTGGTTTTATGAAATTCCATATATGTATGTGTGTGTGTGTATGTTTGTGTGTGTGTGTGTTATTTTTATTGTTAAGGGACTGAAATTTAAAATAATTCCTTTAGTGGACATTCAGGAAACCCTGGTGAAAAGAGTTTCTTTTAATTTTATAAACACTTTACTCTTCATATCTATCATCTGTGTTCAAAGCAGAACTTTGCAAAAGTGAAGAATCAGGTGGGTAAGTTAAGGTGGAGCTTGGCAGAGGAGATGGGAGGTTGGGACTAATACCAAGTCCCCTCTTGCCTGTCTCACACTGTGACACAGCACAGAGCACAGAGGACAGCCAAGGATGGGCTTTAGGGCCGGTTTACAAACCATAGCGGGTGAGTGAGCTCCCTCGGTCTCCACTCGGTCCTGGAGGTCTTCCAGGTAGCAGAACCACCTGTGCTACACTGAACTGCTAAGCAGCAATGGGGCTGGGTAACCACAGGGCTCACGGTTTGCTACACGGACCCATGGAGAGTCTGCCTCAGAAGCCACGCTTGATCATTGCCAAGGGTCCACACACTTCCTGGGGCCCACACACTTCCTGGGACCCACAGCCTTCACCGGTATCTCAGAGTTTTCCTGCTCTTACCTCTCACCCTTTGAAACCAAAACCCTACCCAGCAATTCCCCAGGTGAAGCTGACCAGGCTGCTCTAAGACTGTTCACAACTTTGGGGGTGGGGGTCGCATCCTAGGGTGTCAACTGGAAGAAGGGGTTCTTATTTGGGGCACAGCTGGGAGGGCCGTAATTCAGCCTCAACGACTGCATTCTACTTGGTGAAACCCCACCTTTCCTTGTCTCTCTTCATTTTCTGTGTTTCTTCTCCTCCTCAATTGTCTATCCCTGTATAAGGCCTTGGTGACAGGTTCAAGTTCCCTTGAACTGAGTGACCTAAAAATCCTATTTCTGCAGGCTATTCCAGAAAAATTTCCCTCTTCCAGTGGAAACAGATTCAGCCTGTGAATTGTAATATTGACTCAGAGAAAGAAAAATGTATAGAGAAACCAAGACTTAAATTTAGGCAAGAATATAATCAATGAAGATGAAGGGTAGTAATAGGAAGAAACATTCATGCTGAGAAAATATAGCTTGTTACTCTTTCCTTCTTATTTCCCTGTTACTTAATACTCGATTATTTAATACTCTATTGCTCCCTTTGGAGAAGAGTAAGGTAAACAGTCTTCCTCAATTACTCACTTTCCTTCATTCCCTATATCCAGTCATTTCTGAACTAGAGTCAAAATTCTGGCCAAACACATGTCAAACTTGGCCCATCCTCACTAGTTCTGCCTCCACTAAATTTAGCAGTTAAAGCTAATCACAGAAACCTGCTTCCATAAGTCGTGCCTGTCAGATTCCCTTTATTAAAACGTTTCCCAATTATCTCCAATATTTCAGCACCATCCCACCCTTTAGCAAGGGCAAAAAGTGCAGTGGAATCCAGTTATCTGGAGCTTGACTGTTTACTGTAAGGAAGATATCTTGTGAGCTGTGAATCACCTAACCCAGCCTGTCAACGGGTAAACATTAAGAAATATTAAGTGCTCAACTAACACAACCAACTTTGTCATGAGGAGAAGTTAGTCCAGGGTCCCTTTGAGTTCCGGTTCTCTCCTGAGACACAAGCGAGACTAATCTCATTAAGCTTCCTAACCACTCTGGCCTTCAGTGTCCTCTCTGGTAAAGGGGGACCACCAGATCTTTAGCTCCGATGGAAACAGATTTCTGTCAGGATTAATGAGATGGCCAATAAGATGTCAATGACCAATGACAGCTTGACACTGCACAAATGTAAATATTTACTGCTCTTAGGACAAACGGCAACAATTAACGTTAATTACTGCTCTCTGCCCCCCAGTCCACTTCTCACTGCATATACATCATGGACAGGGTTAAATTTCAGTTGCAATGAATACACAGGCTGGATCTGTTCCTTTAACTTGATGAACGGGTGCATAATCATTTCATTACACTCTCACAGCCCATTCGGGGAGAAGAAAGGTTAGCGATGGTACTTAGCCTTGTAGAAAACCCTCTTCTGGTAGTCGGGGATCGTTCTACTTTGCAAGTGGTCAAAACCAAACAGAAAAAAGGACATAATCTGTTCCTTTTCACCGGTGAACATCTAAAGAGCTCTGACAGAGCAGCATTTTGAATCGAGAGGGGGCAACACAGAGAATACAAAATCAGCGCTGACCCACTTGGAGGCTACTATCAGCACTGGTGATTGAAGTGCTAATTAAATTATATTGAATGCACCCAAAATTAAGGACTGGCATGCTTTTAATGAGTCCTCAAAAATCCAATGATTTCAACTTCAAAGCTTATTGTAATACTAAATTATCGAGCTTAAAATAATCAGCTAGAATAGTCTCTTGGTGGCAACGGTTAAATTCAGTTGTTTTCTACTGACTTGACTTTAGGCCAACGGGGAAAGATCTTATATTTGTGTACGTCCACACACACCCATATGCACACGTCTGGAAAGACCTTGCTCTATCAAGTTTTATAGAATTTCCCTTTGGTTAAGTAATTATCAAATTCTGTGTGTTGTATCTATAAAAAGCAAGTGGAAGTTGTATTACATTTAGTCAAATGGGACAGGAAATGATAAACGGAATAGAATTTGAGCATTCAGCTTGACAAAATGGCCGTTAAAACCCCTCGAGACTGATTATTTGCATCCTTAGAAAAGGAGCCACAGAAGAGATGGTTCTTACTCTAGATTTTAGGGGATTCATCAAAATTCACCATCTGGCCAAGGAGAAATAAGAGAACACCCAAGCAGAGGACCAGCGCAGACATGGGGAACTAACCAACACAATGGATTTAGGGAACTATTAGAAAGTGATCCTTTGCTGGGAAACAAAATTTGAAAAAGTGGCTTAAAAGTAAGAGACAATAGGCCAATGAGACTGACATGGGGGGAATGGTTTTGCTGTGAAACAAACAAAAAAATCCATGCAGTTTTTTTCCTTGGCATTTTCACTAATTTACTCAAATTTCAGTCTTAATGTGTCACTTAATTCTTTTAAATTTCAGAAAACACAGTAGGTGAAAATCCAAGGAAATCTAAAGAATGTATGGACTTTAATAACAATGTATCAGTATTTCATAATAGCAGGGAAATGAGTGTGGGGTATATGTCAATGGTACTATCTCATAACTTCTCTATAAATCTAAATCTGTTCTAAAATGAGTTTTTAAAGAATAATCTCAAACATATTACATAGGAAATTAATGGAACTCCTCAAAAATTTAACTGCTGCTCCCCATTTGTTCCTATGAAGATAGTAGAATCATTTTTTCTGCCATCCTTGTTTATTGGCAAATTAGTCTATAACTGCAAAATGGATTATAAAAATCGGTAATTTAGCTACATATTTAATTAATAATTTCTAAATGTTGTTTAGTAAAGACAAAAAGCATGAATAAATAAAAAACTAACATCAGACTGTATCTGCCTTTCACAGTTGGTTTCAAATGTAGTTAGTCATCAGTCTTCCCACGGACTGACTCTGAAAGTAAATGCTATCAATACAAAGTCGGTTAATTCTGAAAAAATTATTTACATACATTACACTTATACATACGTGTGTGTTATGTATGTATATGCATATGGTTCTGTGTGAATCATCTCTGAAAGTAAAATACTGCTGCTGAATGTATCTAATTTGGAAAACAACTGGCTAAATACAGGAAAATGCTAAAGAACTTGTGATGTGTGATGTGGGCTTTAGAAAACCATTGAAAGAGATTTTATATATATAGATGTGTGAGAGATTCCACCAGGCAGAAGAAAAGGGAATTGGTGAGCAGAGGAAAGGGTACAAAAAGGATTTGAAAAATACGAGATTTTGGTACAAGTTGAAAAAGCAAGCAGTTCCCTTTCCCTGAGGCAGAGAGTAGTCAACAAACAGGTCAAAGATCAAGTTGGCACCAACTTTGAAAGACTCGGTGTTAGGAAGATGCCTTACGGGTGGAGAGGTAGAATTCTGTATGTGTCATATGGATGACCTACAGAACTGTTAGAAACGTAAAAGCTAACCTCAAGGTCAGGGCTGTTTTGGAAAGAAAATGGATGAACTTGGCAACTGCATGTGTGTGTATGTTGGAAAGTGAGGTGAGGAAGAAAGAAGAGACGAAAAAACAAAGGATGAGGCAAAGATCCCCAGGTTTTATTCTATAGTAAAAGGAAGATGATGGTACCTTTTATAGATGAGAATTAAAGGCAAAACAATGTTTATGAGAAGATTAGTTGCCAGAAGCTTAATCAGAAGTTCTACAGGGTTTAGGAGGTACACACTCAACATGAAAGAGGGTTCGATTATGGATGGAGATTCTCTAACCATCTCACATAGCTCCTACCTGACATGAAAGAGAATTTCCTGTGAAGGAGTTCCCATCAACACAGCATCTTCCAACCAAGACAGAAACGCTTACTATCCCACATACTCTGTTTCCCATGCATGGCAAAGAATTCCCTTGTCTTAACATTTTCATTAATGACTATTTTGCTTGGACTTTTTGCACCCTGACTTATGGCTCTACCAAGCTTAATTTTGAGAATACTGTGCCATGGGTAAGATAAAAGTAAAATATGTATGTGTCATTTCATCCCCTTGACTTGAAAGTACAAACTAATTAGACTGTGGAAAGTACTTACGGCTGACATTGAGG